TTATTTCGTTTTTAATTTTTTTTTCACCTGCTCTACATTATGAATAATTGCTATCTTGATTTTTTATGAATTCTTAGCTAGCTAATTATTTCTCACTGACTTTGTTATTCTCACCGACTATTTCTATGCCTATACCTTACTTCAATAATTTTTAGTAAGCGCTAGAAAAACTATAGATATTTTCTATTTTTTAAAGTTATAAATAAAAAAACAATTTATAGTATAACTTTAAAAAATTTTTAACGCTTCTGCAGCCACTGCACAAACACCACACCACCGCACCACTGTTTTGTGATAGGAAATAAAAATCTGCAGAATTTTTCTATAGACTTAATAATTAATGTTCAATACTTTATAACCTCTTATTGTAAAACTGTAACCTTCTATAAAAAAATGGATACAGGCGGGTACATAATTTTATTTACTATTAAGTTTCTATTAAATTTTCTTCCAGATATTAGATTTTATTAAGTTTTTCTTTCAGATCATTCGCAGCTTATTAGGAACCTTGCCCCGCTATTTAATTTTGAAGAAAATAAAAGTTTGAACGTTAAACATTTTTTCTTATAAACATAAACTTGGCTCTCTAAAGTTGTTGAACGATTTAACTGATCAGCTATGCACATTATTAACTGAAGTTTCTCTATAATGACGTATGCGCAAAAATTTTATATTGCTATTTTGATGTTTATTGCAATTTTTGGCTTTTTAAAAAGTCTCCCCTTTGTTTGTTATTGTATATTGTATCTTTATATATCAACAATAAAAATTTTTTAAATGTTTCAACTTTTAATATAGAAAACTGGAAAGATTTATAAAAACTAATATGCAAGCGACAGAATTAGAACCTTCACGTTGTACTTCAGATAGAAACAGCCTGTTTCGCAGCAAGCTAACCACTTCGGTCACTGAGACACACAAAACTGCCAGTTTTTAACACAATAAATAAAAGCAAAAAGATGGAATATAATGAATAACTTTATAAAACGGCAAATAATGCGTTAAAACGGCAAATAATGCGTTAAATCAAAAATTACGAGATATTTCCGCAATACAACTTTTTAATAAAAGTAAAACTTTATAAAAGTAAAAATATCAAATGAACTTGATTGTTCTATTTTTTTGATATAAAAATTGAAAATTTTCAATTTTGAAAAAGATTTTGAAAAAATATAAAATGGAAAAGCAAAGATATTAAATACGTTATTTCACTTTAGAATGATGCAACACTTAACCACTTTGGCCGCTGGGGCACATTGTCTCTTGAAAGTTTTAAAACTATTTAACAAACAAAAGACTTAATAAAATGGCAAATAAATGGTATAAATCAAAACTAAGGAAATATTGTTGCAATTCAATTTTAAAGTAAAAATAAAATTGTAAAAGTTGATATATGTTTTAACATTACATGATTTAAAGTTTACGTAAGTTAAATATTTCCATACACTTTGTTCACCTTTTCTGAAAGAAAAATCACTGCGACTTTTTCTTGCTTTTAACTTGTGTTTAATGACTGCCGTAACATCCGTGTCAAATACTAACGAATGAGTAAAGGCGGCAGCATTAAATTCGGTATTAAAATAATATATGATAATGGGTTTTGTCATAAACTGTAGCTTGCGCAAGTTTTTAAGCCTAACTAGACATTTTTAGTATTCAAAATCTTATACAACCTTAAAGAAAAAATAATTTCACATTATTTATAAAATTATATCACGTAATGAATGAAAACTTTTATTAAATTACACATTTAATTAATTTATTAACTTTTTTTTTTTTTTTTTTTGAAGTTGATTAAGGTGCCCCAAGAAGTCCTTACAGTCTTATCACAGAACACCGCGGAAGAGCATTTGATAGGAAGTTCACGCCTCCTTCCCAACCGATGTCGCAAAACTTGCCCAGAGGTGGGGGTTGAACCACAGATCTTGCGTTTCTGAGGCAAGTGCGCTACCACTGCGCCACGGCTGCATAAACTTAACATAACCAACACAAACATATATAATACCCAAATATATGTGGATATTATAATATATTTTGATTTTATTATTTTATATAATTTTAATATTTTTCTTGTTTTTAAACTAAATTAAAAACTTTTAAATACGTATGCACTTTATGTATTTAAAATATGGTTATGGAAAAAATCCAATGAATTGTTTTCGTAAATAAAAGCGAGAAATTTTAATGCTAAAATATAGACATTTCCTATCTAAACAATCAATAGAATAAATTTAATTACAAGGTCACTTTACTCCCTACCATGGACCAGAGTCAGCTTTTTTGATTTTCCAAGCATTGTTTTTTTAAACTAGATTTAAAAAATTAAATAAAAAAATAATAATAATAATAATTTTCGTTTCTGAGTTCACGGCATTCTAAATTACAGACTAATACAAAATTTTAGGTAAAAAGTGCCTAATTATGTAGTTATGTATGCGAATTATGTAGTTATTTATTTAATAAATAATTTTTAATAAAAAAAAAATAAATTCTTTTTTAGATTTTTTTGATAACTCTAATGATCATATGTTGATACAAAACAATTTGGTTGCAACGTTTGCGTCATGGGGAAAAAGGTACTATGTGATTTTTAAAGTAAAACCTTTATCGTACTCATATGATTGGGAAAGTGTTATTCATTTTACTCTTGGAGAAGATTATTCGCGCTATGGAGATAGAAACCCTGCTGTCTGGTTTATGAACGATGGCTCTGAAATGTTGCGCATTTATTGTTCGGCCAACGGAAATCCAGTAGAGTTTATTGACTCCCCTTCTTTGCTACTTAATACCTGGTCTACTATTCAAATATGCCAAGATATTATTGACGGAAATTATTTATTTGCAGTATATATAAATGGAAAATTTATTAAAAGCATAATTAACAAAATGCCTCAAGCTTTTGAGAACGTTCGTGTTTATGCTGCAAATCCATGGTACTATACAAAAGATGGTTATATTAAAGACCTCAAAGTTATAACCGGAAATGAAAGTAACTAAATATTTTATGAAATTTTTATGACATACATACTTAATACAAATTACATACATACAGACTTAAGATAACATACTTAAGATAAATAAAACTTTTTTAGTTCACTAAAAAAAGCTTTTTAGTGAACTAAAAAAAACTTCATATAAAGTTCATTAGAAATCTTTAAACATTTTTATTCTCTTGATAATACTTATTAAATTCGTTGAGATTTTTTCTCTATTGAATCTAAACATTCAGGATGCTAAAAAAATTTTAAATATACTTTTTATTATTATATTATCTTAATTATAATATTAAAGTAACTGTCTCTCAGAAATATTTGAAAATTTCAAAACTTGAATTTGTTAATTACTTTACCAACACAATCAAATTCGTGTTGATGTTGATGTTATTATTTTTGTTTGCAAACCAAAAATCAAATCATAGAAATTATGGAAAACCCCATGTTTCATAATTTAATTAGTTATTCTAGTCAAGTGTTAAGCTAGTAAAGTCTAAAACTACAAAAGTAAGATGCTGCTTTCGAGAATGATGATTTCTCTCCATTTTTTATTTCATGAACCTTTTTTCTAGAAGTAGATCTCTTAAGGACATTTTTTTTCTTTTTACGTTTTTTAGATTCTTAACGAGTATGTGTCACTCCCCATGTTTTCATTAAAAGTTTATTTAAAAGAAATAGTGTTTGTGATTGTTAACGTTTCCCCAATTTGTACTAGTATTTTATTTTTTTCGCCAAAAGTTGAGAAATTCAATGTTTTTTGATCCAAACGTTACCCATTAATTTTCTTAAGACCATAAATTCATTTTTTTTTTTTACAAGCTCACTTACCACTAAACAATGCTGTAATGAAAACTTTATAAATTACGCGTTAACAGAAAACTAAGTAAACTAAGTAATTTGATGTTTCACAAAAATTTCGATAAAATTGGATTGTTTGAGTTAGAAAATCATAAAGATAAAAGAAAATTCCAAAGCACCAATGTTTAAATTTAAAAAAAAACTAGATAAGTAACAGTTTTTTAAGCATGAAAAAAACAGTTTTAAGAATGTTAAACTATGTTTTAGTTGTAGTAAACTTTGGTGAATTATTGAAATTAAGGTTTGGTTGATGAAGCAAGCAATTATAGCTTTTTTCATCAACAACCATGATAGTATTTATAAAAAAAAGAGATATATTGAAATATATTGAAGATATAAAAAAAAAAGAGATATATATCTTATATTGCATTTGAGACCGTTCCGTTTAAATGATTTTTTTTTTTTGATTGCTTAAATCATCATTTTGATCCTAAAAAGTCTCAAAAACTAAAAATTATTTATTTCAGGCAACTACTGCAGTATCCAAGTAGTTACCTGAAGTATCCAAGTAGTTACCTGAAGTATCGAAGTAGTTACCTGAAGTATCGAAGTAGTTACCTGAAGTATCGAAGTAGTTACCTGAAATATCCAAGTAGTTACCTGAAATATCCAAGTAGTTACCTGAAGTATCCAATTAGTTACCTGAAGTATCCAAGTAGTTACCTGAAGTATCCAAGTAGTTACAGGGAGTATAAAAAAGTAATGCTCTTTAAGTACAGCTTTAGTGGTTAAAAAAGATTATCTCGATAAATTCAAAAATGATCGCAGATGCCATTTAAAATAAACTTAAGGAGAAGAACAGCATACTTATTTTTAGATTTTTCTAAACTCTTTAACATGTTAATAGCAAAAAAAACTTGCTTTACCGATTCTATTTAATATATGATAGAAGTTTTCCGGGGATCATCTTTAGAGTTTTTAAATTTCGAACTACTTATTCCATTTTTCAGCAGTCAAGAAAATTAGAGTAAACTTCTTAAATAATTCATGAAACATTGAAGAAATTTTTGAAAAAGATTTTTGTAAAGTTTTGACTGAAATGTTGTCAGGATATTTACAGCATGTTGTTTAAGTAAAGGTTATAAAATAAATAACTGTGGTTAGATATTGTAGCTGCACAAGAAGAGGAAAACCATGGCAAAAAGTGAAGTTTAACTTGGAGCAACAGCGTTGAAAAATGTTTAACGCCTGCTTGATTCAAGAAAATTTTTAGGAAGAGCAGTTTTTAGTAAACAGAGATGAGACAAAAAGAGACAAAAAATATTAATTTTTGTAAACAGAACTACAAGAGGCAAAGTAATTCAGTGGGTTTTATCGCACTTATTAACAAGGACATTAATTATGTGCAGCCTACCCTTACGGAAATATTCCATGGAAAACCCATGGAATTCCATGAGTAAACCATGGTTTTCCCATGAAAAACGGGAATTCCGTGGAATTTCCATGGGTAAATTTCATGAAAATTGAAATCCTATGGAATTTCCATGGGTGAACCATGTTTTTTTTTTTCATAGCTTAAGCTGCGCCATGATTGTTACAAATGCGCTTTTAAAGATGGCGTCATAGCTCGTAGAGTTATGATTATTTTTAAATTAGAAAACAATACTTACTGCATTCTTCTGTTTTTCTGTGTTTAATAAGGCTATGAATTGTATGTTTTTTATAATGCAATACATTTATATGATTTAACTAAACATACAGACATAAACAACTAGATATATTTATCATATTATAATGCATTATAAAAAGGATTATTTTTAATTATATTTTATTATATATCATTTATGCATATACTTATTTTAACTGTTTCCAGTAGCTTTGCTTACTTTGCATAACTTGCAATAGTATAGCAAGTATGTCAAGTAAACCAGTTTGAATTTTAATGCCTACTTGGCAAATTATTTGCCAAATAATTATTATTTGGTTTACAACAAATAAATGTTTAGTTTTAATCTACATTAAATAACTAGTGTATTAATGTACATAGTGTAATTTAATGTACATTCAAACTAGTATAATTATTATTATAAAATTTATCGAACGTATTAAAGAAACTTATTTAAAATATTAATATACAAGCAGTATATTAGATAAGATTAGATAACTAAGATAATAAGATTAGATAACTAATTTACAAAAGATAACTAGTATGATCTTTTTTATTTTTTTTTTATAATAGCCTTAGATTACATAAAAATGCTTGAAGTTTATTGTATTGTAAATGTTCATTAAGTATTAAAAAACATTTTTTTATGATAAATGTTCTATTCAATTTTAGTTCTGTTAAGTTGTTTTTGTCTTTTTGTTGTAGTTTTTTCTTTAGATTTATTAGAATATGTAAATAATGTAATATAAATAATGTTTATAAATTCTTTTATATTTACTTTATTATTTCATTTAAATTACTACATTATAAGCCAACAGGTTTGACTGGCAATATAAATAATGTTGTTCATCGTTTATATTGTTTATAACATCGTCAGTTTTTATATGCATTTAATATTTTTAAAAATAGTTCAAAAGCTGTCAAAATAAAATGGTGAATTGAGTTTAAACCAGAAAAGATATAAACGTAATCTTTGGGATTCAACTTGTAAGGATGTTCCAAGAACCACTTAGTTGGAGAAGGAAAACTGTGGTAATATTTTATAAGTATCAGTAAGGGAATTTACTTAATGCACAAGATTTTACTTCATAGTTAAATATAAGCATATAAAAGCAATGTTTATAAATAATACACTATTATTTATTATAATACAATTATTTTTATTTGTTTATATTTAACTGATGTAAAGTGCTCGTCTTTAGTTAAAATAAATTAATTTATGCACACACTTTGATATTTACTATGCTTTTACATTACTATACTTTATAAATTACATATTAGTTATGTTTTAAATAGTGAAGTAAAAATATAATAAATTTTTGAATTTAATGGTATGTGCGTAAGTTCTTTTATTTTAACTTTATCATTTTATTTAAATTACTGCATTATAAGCAGGTAAGTTTGACTGACAATATAAATAATATTGTACATCATGCAGACAGCTCAGACAAAGAAGTAAGTTTTTACTCAAAATTACAATTTATAAGTTATACTATATTTGTTGCTGCCTTATTCTCTATAAATGTTACTAACATGCAGGTAAAATTTATATATGTGTATAAATCTCTTCATTTTAACCTTATCATTTCATTTAAATATAAATTTTTAATTTATTTATTTAGCCGTTCATTAACAAGTCCTGTGCTTTATAATATATTAAAAAATGGAAGGACGTGAAGAAAACAGGTTTGTAAATGATGTTGTACATCATGCAGATAGCTCAGAAGAAGAAGTAAGTTTTTTTTTTAATTACAAAAGTAAATATATAATATAATATTTGTTGCTGCCTTGTTCTATATAAATGCTTCTAACATGCAGGTAACATTTATATATGTATTAGTTTGAATAAATCATTTTAATAAAGTTACATTATAGGCAGGAATGTTTGACTGGAAATATAAACGATGTTGTACATAATGCAGATAGCTTAGGCAAAAAAGAGGTAACAAACTAATAATTTGTATTTATAAATAATGATATATTCATTGCTACTTTTTTCTATATACCTAACATTTGGCAACATTCATAATTGTGTATAATGCC